TGTGTGTGTGTGTGTGTGTGTGTGTGTGTGTTCAGATAAGGTTTCCTCATTAGTAGACTCGGGCTGAATAATGCAGTAAGGCGTATTGTTGTGGTCAATGGGCCAGGTGCTAATGTGGCTGTCTGAGGTTGCAGGGGAGACACAGCATGACTTTAATGGATGTCACCATGGAAAATAGAAACCGGACCACTGGACTCAGGTGACACACCATCCTGCATGTGTGTGTCTGTCTCTTGGGGGGGTAATGGTAAAACTAAAACTGGTTCTCAGAGGGAGCAATGCTGTGTTGGACAACAAGGATGTTATTGCTGGACTTACTGAATATAGTGTATGCATTTGTGGCTGTGAAAGCATGAGCTTTTACTAAACGAGCCAGTTTTTCTGTCAGGGCAATGGTTTTACTGAACATGAGCAGTGGAGATGTTGGTCTACAAGGTGGCAGTGTGGGTTTTTTTTTGCCTCTGTGGAATTATGTTTTTGGGTTGTCTATTCATTCTTTCTTTTGTCTGTCCCATTGATGTGAACACAATATCTAAAGAACACCTTAAAGGAATTCTTTGAATTTAGTGCAAACATCCAGTTGGACTCAGATGGTCAAAAGTCGCTGTGACCTCACGAAATGTAATTTTAGACTGTGAACACGATATTTCAGACACATGTCAATGCAAGTTTTTTACAATTGGGTAGAAATGTTCAATTGGCCTTTGCATTTGGTGGTCAAAGGGCAAAGTCACTGCACCCTTAGAAAAATCTACTTAGTTTTTCTTTAAATTTGGTGCAAAAATCCAGTTGGATTTATGAATAAATAAAGATTTTGGTGGTCGAAGGTTTAAAGGTCAAGGTCACTGTGACTTCATGTTCTTGTGAGTGTGATGTATCAGGAACACCTGCAGGGCATTTCATTACATCTGGCAAAAACATCCACTGGGAGTCAAGAGTGATTTAATAAATTGGATGTCAAAGGTCAAGATCACAGTGACCTCACAAAACCCTATTAAAAATGGAAAAGCATGGTATATTTATAATAAATGAAAACATTAAATTGATATCTTTATGTTTAATATAACATTTAGTACATTTTTTAAAAATTCATTTAAAATGTTTTGATTTGAAGAACCACAATGACCTTATTTACATAGACTTTCCACAAACCTTTCCCTTTCTTCCTTTCTTTTAAAAGGTTTTGTTCAAACTACAAAAGGCAAAACATTTTGTGAGAGGTTCATATATGTTTCAAGGATCAGATTTGTTGCAGTAGCTTCCAAGCTCTGCTTTATTGGTTTCACTTTGACTTGTTCAAAAAACAACTGATTTCAATGAGAAGGGATTTACTAGCTCTTTGGGCTAAGTGTCTGTGGTACAATATTTTACAACAAAACATACTCTGGTTTTATAATAAAGCTCTGATTCATCTGAAAACTTAAATTCTTCTTTTAATATTTCTTGGTACCACAAACATTTGGAATCTATGTTTTAATGTATGTTAGTGCTGTAGTTTATGGTCTTGTGAGCAATGCAAGATGTTCTCCAAAAGTACCAGAGTACAGTTATTATACAGAGGGAATAGAGGTAGAGTTACAGTCTTCATATAGCCCATACAGTATTAAATACGCATACCCCAAATGTATTGAGCAATACAGTGTGGGTGTGTGTGCCTGTGTGTTTGAATATTTGCATGTGATCTCTTACCATCCTATCACCCTCTCATACGGCCCCAGGAGGTCATAACTGTGTCGACAGGCTTGTTAAACTCTAATTTTTGCAGTGATCATTAGCAGTGAGTCCTGAGGAGTCCTGCCAATCTCTCAATTGAATTCTTCATCTGAAATTACTGTGTTAAGTCTTCCACTTATGTCTGAAAGAGGTCAAATAGACAAATATTTGAAGATGAGAGCTGCTTATGAAAGACTCAACTTTTCTTTATCCTGCAATATGAATCCTAATTATATCTGATGTTATAATGTAATGTTTGTTTGTTTTTTAACCAGTTGAATTGTGGTCAGAGGTTTCAGTTGTTTCGGAGATGAAGTGGACTGAGCCTGACTGACTGGACACACTGACTGAGAAGCAGCCAGCTGTGTTTGGTTGTAAATCAATTTGACACTGCGAGTGCACTGCAGACACAGAGCGGCTGCGAACTGCACCTCAGAGATTAAAATAGGTGTCGTTAGAATGTAGGCTGGGAACGACTGTCTGGACATAAATACACTCACACACTGGACTAAACACGTCTCGGTATTGTGAGGACAGAAATTCATATAAAAGAGGGTTTTGTTGGAGAATGGGCTTTACTGGTCATGGTTTAGGGCTCTGCTAAAACTGGCACAATTCTTTAAAACAAATAAAATGTTCCTCAGTTTCTATCTACATTATATTATATGCTATATTATATAAATTACTGCTGCCAAGGATTTATGTTTTCTTTAGAATTTGTTTGTATGTTAGCAGGATTATGCAAAACTACTGAAGAGATTTCTATGATACTTGGCGAGTCGATGTTGATCCAGGATTTTCTCTTCACTTTCTTTAACATTGTGAGACTGGGCTTTTTTCAACAATTTTGTTGATTTCTCTGAGAATAATTTATGGATCTTGTGAATTTAAATGTGGTTTCGTAAGGGGAGTCAACTCCATCTGCTAAGGAAGGCAGGGAGAGTGGTTGAAAGTTCATAGAAAAGTGACCTTGAATCACTTAATTTCTTTTAAGTTTGTTTGGTCAAACTTGCCAAAATAATTTCCCAGATGAGTAGTTTTACAGGAAGCAATTTAACAAAATGAATGTTTCATGAAAGCCACTGATGACTTAATCATGATGCCTGATGGAATCCTTTGCAAAACTCAGATCAGCATGTAATCTCTCAAATGACTTGCTCCTTTATTATAACCAGACACATTTCAACATATATGACCTGATAAAAGTTCAGCATGCTCGAGGCAAAGATACTCAAAATAATTAACCTGCACAAACGAAAACTTTTTTTTTTAAGCAGTTCATGCTGACCCTCCACAATCATTTGAAACTTAAAATGTAAACACCTGCAAGATGAAATCACGGCTCCCTTTACTGCCCTGGCAGGTTTTCAACCAAATACAAGTCCTTATTTTGCAGTTTTATCGTTTTTTTTTAATCCAGCAGGAATCCCACTGAGGTTACGTTCTTCCACTTTTTTCCCCTTGTGTTAAAGTGCACAGACAATGCCCCTCCTATTCAAGCCTAATATAACTTTCTTTCTCTATTTTCCCTGTTTCCCCTCCCTTCATTCCATCATTCCTTCTCCGCATTAGAGCGATGAAAGGTCGGGGGTCAGGTCAGGTCTAAAAGTGTTGTCTGACTGACTGAGTGCTGATGTTTGCAGGAGACTCATCAAAGAGAGAGAAGCCTTCAAAGCCCCATGTTAAGACTGTCACTCGCTCTTTATTTCTGCTCTGAATATTGCAATAATGAGAAGATCTGGGCTTATCTGGCTCCTCGCTTCATTTTAAAGTGATCAAAGGAGGAATGCTCACGGTGGTGGGTGGTTGTGCTTTGCTAGGTAGTCGGTTATGATCTTACCTGAGCCCCACATTGGTCGCCTCTGTTCTCCTCCAGATGATCCAGATGCCCTGTCCAATAGACACTCCACAGGTCAGTGTGTCAGCCAGCGTTGAGTTAAAACAGGCAGAGGTCCTCTTTGAACGTAAACAGTACGCTCACGTTAATGTGGAGAGATGAATGAAGTAGCACTGAGCGACATGAGTGCAGAGCTCAGACCAGTCAGCTGGAGAGTGGAGAGGGAAAGTCTCTGTGCATGCAGCCACATGTTCACAACAGAGGCTGCATCAAACATCAGGCGCCTGGATGTTCAGCTTCTTCATCTTCCTCACAATCACTTCCTCTCTCTGTTTTCCCCTCATGCTGCCAACTCTTTCCAGGGAGCCGAAGGAAACAAGTGCACGAGATTCCACAGGCTAGTTCAGCTCCTCAGGGCGGGGGGGAACCTAATATGTGAGGACAACTGTAGAAGGAGGGAGATACAGGCAGAGAGAGAATGTAGGGAGCGGGAGGGGCAGGACGGCGGGGGGGGGCACGGTGACGGATGGCGGAGCAGAGGGTTGGAGGGTTTGTGCTCTTGAGGAAGAGGAGGAAGTTGTAGAAACTTGAGCGACATGAGGGGGAGGAAGAATATGTTGACATGGTGAGGTAAAGGGAAACATGATTGTGGGATGAAACAAGTGCCTTTTTTTGGTTTGATTTGAAAATGTGTTCCCTTTTGTCTCAGCTATGTTAAACAGTCTGTGTTTCTAATGATAGATGGCGCATGTCATGAAACCATTTAAACCATGACTCAACTAGAATGGCTCCCAGTAGAGGGCATTCCCCCATCAAGGCCCACATTTAAATTCACTAGATCATGGTTTTTATTACTCATAAGTGTCAGTCCACTAAACTTGCCTCATCAAGAATGAATGAATCCCAAAGAAATCAATGAAAATGTTGAAAATCTCACAGCATTAAAGGGGAAAGACAATCTTGTCCCCTGATCTGAATCCACACCGAAATGTAATGACTTCTTTCCTGACCCAACAGTTTTCCAAGTATTCCGTTCAGTAGTGTTTGTGGAATTCTGCTTGCAAACAAACAGACATGTGAAAATGTATGTATGAGTACAAACTCTGCTCTATGGATGATTTCATGATCATTTAGCCCTGTAGTTATAAATCTGACCCACTTTGTCATGTACCTTACAACTGTTTTCAATTGTTGTTTATTTTACAATTCAGCTATTAATGTGTTCAACTCATTAATACTTGAATTATAGAGTAAAAGACAGAATCAAAGTAACTTTAATCTATTTCTGTCAGAAAGGTCAAAAACTGAAATTAGCTATAATCAAAACTTTGAGAGGAAAAAGATATTTAAAAGTTGCAAAACCCTTCATGTATATGTGTATATATACTGTGTGTATATATATAGTTATATATATATAAAAATATAGTTTTTTAATGTTAATTACAGACCTCTTAAGTCTGGTAACAGTGATTTGGGGAGTCTGCAAATAAAAAATCATAGTGTTCCTTTTTTTATCTAATTTCTAGCAGATCTCTGAGTGACAGCCTCCTGTGACTGTTGCTTTTTTGTCCAACACAGATCTCACAGTGAATTATGAGGCAAATTTTACAGTGACTGCATGGCCTCCTTTAAAATACTGATCCACTGAAAGCCCCAAGCACTCAGAGAACCAATACATGTTTCAGTTAACGTCCAATGAAATAGCCGACGTGAGGCCCTGGGATAGCTGGAACGATGGAGGATAAATGCGAATGGCTGTGATATGAACACAGTCGCACAAAATTCACTAACATGATACTGTGGGAATCCCTTGTGTGAGCATGTTGATTCCTCCTTGCCACCATTTAAGGCGTAAATTCAGATCGGATATCATAAATGTGCTTGCAAATGATGTTCAGAGAGGTAGGAAAGTATTAGGTGGAGGATCAGGACGAGAGGGCCGAGGTGAGATTGACGCATGGTGCAATGTCGACTAAATGTCAGTCGAATTCTGATGTGCTCTAAATCCCCAGCTCTACGCCCCCTGCATTACAGAATATGGAGAGGGATAGCAGGTTTAAGTGCAGCCCATCAAAGCGATATGGACAGTTAACTGATGTTCAGTGTGTGAAGAGCTCTCGTGTAAATGAGACATTAAACCAAGTGTTTAATGTTTGCAATAAAAACAGAGATGGCTCCTTCCCGGCTTGGCAGGGACACTCCTGAGTAGGAGAAGCCTCTGTAAACTCTCATCCCGGTTTGAGGCGGACAGCTTCTCGTTCATTTCATTTACATAATATGGACACACACATAAACACACACACATACACTAACAGACACAAACACCTTCTGGTAACATGCCTCATAGGGGTCAGGTTATGGGACTGTGGGGAAGGACAGCAAACTTTTGTAGTAAGCACATTTCACCAAGAGCATACAGTTACACACACACACACACCCTGTCTCAGGGTCATTCTCATCGCTCTAAATTATTCTCTCTCTCTTTGCAATGCGATTTTTACAAGACTTCTCACCATTACATTCATAACGTCTGTATCTCTGTCTGATCTATATGTGGCTCTTCAAACAAGCAGTTTGGAACAACGTAACAGTTCATCCAAGCATCAAATTAAACTGCTGCCGGCCACAAACACGCAGTTACATTTTTCCTGGCGCTCTCTTCACCTAACTGTTGACATTTGTCTCACTATATATAAGCACAACTTAACCATACAAACACTGAGGCAGGGGATTTCTGTCTCCAGGCAGAGGTCATACAAGGTAAATAATCCGACACCACATTTATGGTCATTCTTCAGTATGACACCCTGTTTTCTTTAAAATCAATAACATTCTAGTGTTGATATGAAGCAAATATTCTGTATGGAAATTATAATACATAATATAAATATAAGTAAAAAGATGTATTTCCCTTAAAAGAGGTATGGAAATATGTGTTAATACTGCAGAGCTCAAAACAATATACATATATATGCATTATATGTGTGTGTGTATATATATACACAAAGTATATATATATGTGTGTGTATATATGTCTGTGTGTGATCACAATACATATATATACAATGTGGTGATACGATGGCCAGTCAGTCTCTCAGAGTATCCTTCTAGTTTCCCATTGATATGTTGTCTTTCTCATTTTATGAATGTTTATGTCAGTGTTGATATCTCATGTATTTTGTGACTTCAATTAGTCTTCACAGTGTGTGGCTTCAATATAAAACTGCTCCTTCTTCAAATCTGATCCCTGATGAAGTCACATTGACCATAACCTTTGTGTTGACAGTTGACAACAACAATTCAGCTCTTTCTTTTTCTTATAGAACTAAAACAATTGAGTGTTGGATTCTACATTTTACATCTGCATCGTCAGAGAACACATCATTTGTCTCATAATCTGTGAAAGCGAGGACAGTCTCACAGAATCAAAGAGAAATTTATCAAACAATAATGTTAAACTCCAACAGGAGTTGTACTTCCTATGGTGCCAGTTGTGTTATTTGGCTTCTGCTCTTCCGTTTGTGCCAGCTGTCCTGATGAGGTTTGTCTGTTTTTGTTCTTCCTTTTTCCATCTCAAGGATAAGAGCACTATCATCCCTCCATCTCTCTTCCCTATTAGCCTTTGCATTTCTGTGCCGCTTTTGAAGATTTAATCAGTCAGATTTCCTTGATTAATCCCTTTTCATGTCCTTTCACGGTAAATAATTACAGAGTTTGATACGATCGCTGGCTGGATGGAGAGGACAGCATGCAGACTTCTGACAGAGCCGAGTCCCCAGGTACCTTCATTAGCCTGATTATTCACATCCAAACACACTCCATCAACCAGTTTACATGTAAATAGGTTAATTCTATTCCCACTCCTCACTCACACTGCTGGCACGCTGTGTTTAACAGATGAGAGCTCAGCAAATGGTGTTTCATTCACTCTCTACCTGCACCATCACGACACTATGCAACATTGCTGACAGATATGGGATTTTCTCTGTGAGGCCGGTGGGTTTTTCCAGTGACATATGTTAAACAGAGGACTGGATCTTAATCACTAATCATCTGCAGAAGAGCCGAGCGTTAAAGGAACGTTTCACTGTATTTCCACTGTAGAAGGCCTCAGTCTGACCTCTCAACTTCAGTATGGTTATGTTATAGTGACCCCTAGTGGCTAAATGCTCATATTTCATCCAACCAGTGGTTTTACTTTCACCACTTGGTGGCAGTGTGATTCTACTTTCCTAATTTTCAGATTTATTTCTGAGAATGCATCCTCTGACAGTTAGGTCACTCCTTGTAGTTTTAGCCAATCAAGGGCCCAATTTCCTGAACTTGATGTCGCATTTTTATTTTTTTTAAATTATCTGAGTGATGACTGTTACATGATGCGTTGTGTTGTTATAAGAGCACAATAACTGCAGGCTTTTGAGTGTCAGAGATGAAGAAGTGCTGCCCCCACTGCCCCTCTCCCCTCAGGATTAGTGACTTAATGCAACCATTCAGACACTGAGCTCTGATCAGCTGCTTAATGTTTTATCCCAATCGACATGGCCATGTGCACATGATGCGTGCAAGCTAACAGACACATATAGACTGCACATGCATGCATTAACATACATGTATCCAATGAAACACACACACATTATGCTACATTGTTTGTTGAAGTATAGATAGTTTACTAAAATAATAAAGCAGGAAATTATTTTCGAACACTTTATCATTTCTCAAAATGTTTTCCACGATTAATTTTTAACTAACTGGATCTGCTCTATTTAAACCTAAGTAAACTGTCTTTCCTTTGTTGAATTGTATCCCTGCCTATAGACACATTTTATGTTTTTGCTTGTTTAATTTACCTGCTTTGCTCTAACTTGAAATTGTCATGATTCATAAGACAAGATACTCTAAATGTATTGTATTTAGTTGGGAAACTGCCTCACTAAGATTAAAATCTCTTTTACATAAGTGTCCTGGCCTATATGGCAGGAGCACATGAGATATATAGCTCTGCTGCCATCTTGGGCTCATTCAGATAAGAGTCACAATCACAGGGGTCAAGGGTCAAAAAGGCCAAATGCACCCCTCTTTTGTATTGGGAGCAAAAGTCCCCCTTTCAAAAGATAAATGGGTTTTTTTCACCTTAAAAAAATAGCTCCACTATCTATCATGTTGCTGAATAAACAATATTCTAGGCGGTATCTGGGAAATAATCGAGGGTCTCCAAAGAGCTGTTTTTGTTATTCATCCTGCTGCTTTAAGTTAGTAGTGCAAATGCACTGCAAACACACACACACACACACACACACACACACACACACACACACACACACACACACACACACACACACACACTGGATTATACTAATCCTTGTGAAAACAAAGCTGTATATTCCTCCCGTTGCAGGTCAAGCGTGGGATGTTCATCAGCATGTTTATCAGGATTATGAGCATTTTATCCAGAATACAACGTCTAACGTTATGCTCGTCCAACATCCACTGTTTCACATGGAGAGATTTTACAGAAATGTAAACTTATACCAACACACTGATGATGCAACTGATGACCATGACCCTTTCAGACCATTCCCACCAGGGAGCCATGACCCAGTGTGACCTTGTGACCCCTTCGGACTGACCTCTCAGTGGGTGGCCTTTACACTGACCAACATGCACCATGGATCACAACAAGTGGCTCTTCTAAATCGGGTGAGAACTTTTTCTGATTGTCTTCTCCACTTTTACAGTAAGTTTTCAAGCTCGATCATTTGTTCATTTTTCCACCTGTTTCTATCAAGCGTTTTCTTTTTCCCTTTTAATCATTAGATTCTCTCATACAAATAAAGGGGACAGTCTGGCTCCTATACAATTAGCTCTGGTTGGAATAAGTTTGCATGTTCCTGTTTGTCTTTGCGTGTGTTTGAAAGGTTATGCATATACATGTACAGGCGTGTTTTATTACACGTGTGACTGTTAAACTGTGGTCTGAGTAGATGCCAGATCAGGATTAATATACTAGCCCCAGTGTCAGTAAAGAAGGAAGTCTGTCTGACCGGGCGGCCATGTTAATCATAAATCTTTATCTTACAATCCCGCCTCGCACATCCGCCCTTTCATTAAAAGACGAGTGAAGGATTAGTGCAGTTAAACCCCCAAGATCTGTAGAGAAAATTGAGGAAGAATGAAGCGAGTAAACATCCCTCAGTGTGGATGGTTGATAAAACTGAATCTATCTCTCTATTTCTCTATTTTTTCTATATATCTCTCTATCTATCATCAACAAAATAATCCATGGACTGATTGAATTTTTAATATTTAATCAACATCAATTTTTCCAAAAGAAACAAAATGAAAAAGACAAAGACACAGTATCCAATACAAAATCTATTGGAAATTAGATTTTCACAGTGTTATCCCGAGATCCTATTTTTTTACTTCTCTCCATCCCTCCTGAAGATACCTTCCAAAAATCAGCTACGTCATGCTAGGACATCTACCTGTAGAGTGCAAAATAACCAAAACTAACAAAGAAGAGTGGACACATAATGTAAGAGACAAATTATCAGTCGAAACAAAGTAAAAAGAATCTCTGACCACAAACATATACAAAAGGGAAACCAGACACAACAGAACAGAAGTCCATATACACTATATTAAATTAGAGAATAAATAAAAAATACTTTAATTTATGTAGAATATCTGATGTTGCCAAAGCTACAGAAGAAGTGCTGATATCAGTAACAATGGAAGATTCCTGTTGGGACTTGTGGAGTCTTTTTTTTTTGGTCGTCAGTTTTTAAAAACATTTATTGGTTGGGGTCAGGTTCAGCAGAACTAGTTCTCCACACATTTTAAACCATTTTTCTTCTACTGTTCTTCCACAAGCAGTCAAGATGGATCCCTCGGTGTTAACGTCCAAGAGACGTCAGTGTTCAGAGTGGACTGGATCAGTCAGGGTGTATTGATGGGTGTTGACTCTGCTGACTCTCCTCAGTCTCTGTAGATGGAGGTCATATGTCGGGGGGGCATGTGCGGTGGATGGTAGGCGTCATATGCCCCCTCTAAGTGTACATCATAGCTGCTCTGAGTCTGATACAGGCCCTGCTCCAAAGAGGACGGGGAGTAGTGGTGTGTGGGTGGGTAATGAGGTGAAGGCTCCTGTTTGGGCACCAGGTTACTGCTGATGCTCAGAGGTGGCGTAGGAGGGCCATCATACGGAGGGGTCCCCACGCCACCACCGTTATACTCGTGTGGCGAGTGATTCTCGTACGCTCCTCCTTTAATCGCCCTCAGGTGAAGCAGGTGAGCAGAGTCAAAAGTGCCATACGGCGGACTAGGCAGACCTGGAGAGGAGTAGCTCACCACACCACCAAGAGGAGCAGGTGGTGCCCGAACACCATGTCTGTCCTCAGGCCTCATCCCGCCACCAGGAGAAGGTCCCAGCTGCAAGCAGCCCGCTACCAGGTTGGAGGTGGGCTGTGAGAGTCCCTTGCACAGCGTCTCCATGAAAGCCCTGCTCTCCGTGGACAGGCCCCCTTCCAGGGCCTCGGACAGAGCGCAAATGTAGTTGCGGGCGAGCCGTAACGTCTCGATCTTAGATAGCTTCTGGGTTTTGGAGTGACAGGGCATGATGGTGCGCAGGTTCTCCAGAGCATCATTCAGACCATGCATGCGTGAGCGCTCCCTGGCGTTTGCCTTTACACGCCTAGCACGGAAACGTTCCTGCCGAGCTTTGGTCATGCGCTTTTTCTTGGGCCCTCGTCGTTTGGACTTGTTTTCATCCTCCTGGCCTTCCTCTTCATCATCATCGTCTTCCTCTACATCCTCGCTCCCCATCTCACTGACCTGTTGGTTTGTTGCACCTGCTCTGTAGTGATGTGATGAGACTGACGCTTCTCCGTCAGGTGAGCTCATGTCTTCATCCGTCCACTGCAGAGGGCTGACGACCTCCTCTCCCTCACCTTGTCTCATATATGGTTTAATCATCATAGTAATCTAGAAAAAAGAGAAAACATCACAGATTAAGTATTTAGAAAACATTAAACAGTAAACCCTTTGTGTTTTTAATTCTCTGTATTTATTTAATCTGTGGATTAAGTTACTGGGGACAATATGACATATCCCACTATAAATTGATTTAGTTTTATGGTGTTGCAGAATCTCAGCCATGCAGAGTGGTACTGGGTAAATTTTGTATTGTATAACTCTAATTTGATGATTGATTTTATTTGTCAGAGACCATAAGAATTATTCAGGTTTTTGCAACTTTCCAACTGCTGGTCTTACATTATCTGAAAGGTACTATTAACTTTACTCATTTAAATTCAACATACAAGCCCAGAGTATGTTAATGTTGATGATGTAATATATATATATATATATATATATATATTTAAGTTTTGTTTTAAATCTAGTGTGATGATACATATATGAGGTAAAATATCACAACATAAATTTACACCAAGCTGAAGCCCCGGTGGTATTCAGTTAAGTTTAAATCAAACAACAATACATCCTCTTCAATGGTTTGAGGTGAAGGGTTGTTACTTAAAATGAATTTATAAGAATCAGGGGTGTGTGGTGTTCCACCTTAACTCCTTAACTTTAGAGTCTGTGGTTTAAGGTAAGTATTTTACAATAATATTTTGAGGCCAGTAGAAAAGGACATGATTCAGTATTTCTCTGTGGGCCTTGTGGATCAGATAAAGAGTTCGACCTTCAAGATACAGGAAAGTTACAAAAAATCTCATAAACGTGTTAAACTAAATAAGAATATGTTATATAGAGTCTCATTAGTTAGACATTATATAACTATAACATTTTCTGCTTCAGCACCGGACAGTTCCCACTTCAGCCAGGCACTTCTGATTGGCCGAAACCTTTCACCTCTTTATCTATTTGTTTTTAGTCTTTCTCTTTATATATGGATATGATCTGTTGTCCCCTCTGCCCCCCCTCCCCCCTCTCTCTGGGGGTAATCCTGGTCACCTTGTGAAATGGTAATGCCCCTGCGGGATAAAGTCACTGACAGGACTCCAATCTGGGCCATCGCAGGATTTGCTCCGCGGATGAAGCGGCGACCATGGGATTAAATGAAAGATCGACATCCCCCAGATCAGTGACACAGGACTCAGATTGAATTGAAATAGACTTTTTCCAAAGAGCCTGAAAAATTAATGTCTCGCCACACATTGCGTGCGTGAGCAGCTATTTGCTAAATGACGTCTGAAGGATATTAAGATAAGCCTTTTATGTGTTTTTCTTTTTTTCAAGAGACGAATTCATTCATTGCCTGTTGACTTTAGGAAACCAAAGCTGTAAGGCTTCTCAAAAAGTAAAGAAATATGTAACAACTAATAAAGCTGAAATATTAAAGACATTTAGAATAAATAAACTCCATCCTCTCTTCAACAGAAATCAATAATAAGTCAACTTTACCTGAGCTGGTGAGTTCCAGGACTTATTCAAGAAGTTTTTCTCTCAGTTCACAGTTTTCTCTGTGTCCATGAAGCGGTGCCGCACTTCGCTGCTGTCACGCACACTGTGTCAGTGCGGGTCACTCTGCGGGAGGTTTTAAACCTCACATCATATAAGCTCCTCCCCCCTCAGCCGCTGGGATGACGCGCCTGAGCTCGCTCGCGTGGCCGGCCCGTGGCGCTCGAGGCTCCGATGTGTGCCGCGTGTGTGTGTGTGTGTGTGTGTCTGTGTGTGTGTCTGTGTGTGTGTGTGTTCCATGTATTACTCATGTTGTGGGGACCTGAATCTGTTTACACACAATTGGGATAAATCTTCCTTGTGGGGAAAAACAATCCACATAATGCAAATCATAAACATTTTAAAGTGAAAGCATGTTTAAGGTTAAAGTTAAGGATAAGGGTTTATGTAAGAGTTAAGTTAAGGTTGAAAGTTGGGTTTTGTTAACGTTAGATTTAGGGTTAAGGTTAGACCAAGGTAGGGCGAGGTTAAGTTTAGATAAAGTTAGGTTCAGATTAAGGTTAAGGCAAGTAGTAACTATGGCTAAGGTGCGTGTGTCTGTCTGTCTGTCTGTCGATGTGTGTGCGCGCTTGTGTGTGAGCGTGTGCGCGCGCTGGGTCTTTGTTGCTTTGCGGCGGCGGCCGCCAAATCCGCAGAACGTTTGCATGGAGCAGAGGGGAGACGCGCTCAGTCGGCTGAGCCTAACTGTATGTGACAGCTTGAAGTTGCGTGTGAGCAGGTGTTTGCTCTATCCCCTCTTCCAGCCATCCATCCCTCTGCACTGCCGAGATACACAGGCTGCTGAACAACTTCATGTCGCCCAGGAGGAAGCACTGACCCCACGGTTAGAGTTTGGTCACAGGAGGTGTGCAGTTACATGGCTAATATGACTTTGGGACTCATTTCACCCCCCTCCTCTCTGGAGTTTGCTTAAAGCAATCATGAAAAGCTTTAAGCCTCATGACACTGTTGAATGTTGTCCAAGGAGACACAATTAATGTGCTCACTTATCTTTCAGTTTTAAACATTGTAAAATGCATAGCTTATTTCAGATAACTTGATTTAAACAAGTACTTAACCTGCAAAGTCCAAGTTGTCACACAAATCTCACTGTTTGTCAATGATTTAGTGTTTCAGAGTTTCACAAAAACAACACTGGAATGTTTCTGCCCTGTTAGAGTCCTTGAGATTAAGTGTTGCT